AAGCAACCCTTCCACAGGGAAGTCAGCAGCTGCAGTTGTGGCCTGGCAGCCATGACAGGTGCAGGTTGGGAAGTGACCTCTCACAGGAATAACTGCTGAACAATCCCACCATTCCCGCAGTGAAGTTACTTTGATGCATGAGCCGTGCTTTGTCTCAGTGTAACACATCTGTGCAACAACTTAAAGTTCCAGTCAGTCTGGGAAAGGGGCCTTAATATGCCCTTTAATGGCCGTCAATTGGCCACCCAGTGTTTCTGGTTGAGAAGTAACTCTAACCGCAACCCCAGCCTGTCTAACAATGACTCAGGGTCAAGACGATGATACTGAACTGACACTACAGCCAGCAATGCCAGATTGTGGGCTTGGCTGTCCCAGAAGAATAAATAAGAATAAATAAGATAAATAAGAATCCCACCAACAACATTTGGTTCTGATAACAAGTTTTATTTTTAATCTATTTCCCAGCGTAGTGATTGTAATGAGGTCATCCAGGTGGACCTCAGAATATTGGTTCACTGATTGCACCAGGTTAACAGCCCCAATCAGGGAGCCCTGGCTGACAGATAAGAACAGGAGCATCAGACATCCTGTTCACTCTGAGAATAAAAAGTGCTGGAGATCACAGTGGGTCAGGCAGCATCCATGGAAAGAAAGCAAGCTAACAGTTCGAGTCTTCATCAGAGCTGAATGAAGTGTTGGGGCAGGGGCCGCGGTTGGAGTGCTACAGGAGAAAAGATATTGATAGTTCAGGTTAAGTGATTGTAGAGCTGTTCAGTCTGAGAACTGGCTCAGTGTCCAGGACTCTCCACATGTAAACAAAGGGTGACTTGGTGATGGGATATCGGCTTCTGTTATTTCACTTAGCACTATTATCTCTTATCTTTGATAACTGTAGGAACTTCACCAGCATAAAAGAAAATAATTGTTCCTTCTTGTAGTATTTACTGACTAAAAGTCATAAATGACCAGTTCGTAGAAACCTCATGCATCACTCCAGGATTTATAAGCACAGTCTCTAGGTACAGAGGAAGTATTTTATTACTAGAGGTCTCAGCCTTCCAATAATATTATTCTGAGGCTCTAGCCTGCCTGTACCACTGGTTGAGGTGGATATTAGTAAATCCATGCCTATATTGAGAAGAGGTGGAGTGAAAAGTGTTCTCCAATGGCCTAACCATCATTCTGCTCTTGACCAATAAATAAATCACATTGGCCTTCATCTCACTGCTCTTTGAGATCCTACTGTTACCAAAATATAATTAAATGTATATGATGAGCTTTTAGGATATTTGTGACATGCAATTTGGCTCCAAATGTGTTTTGAGAAACCAATCTCCATAATCATCCACTTGTGTTCTGCATTTAGAATATGTTGTTCTTTTGCCTGTAAGCTAGTATGGTGCAATCTTAGAAAGGGTAGAGTTACAGCCTCCATTCTCTCTTCTTGTGGGTAAAACTTTACACCTACATTGTACCTTCCCAAATAAGGCAGTTGAGGGGATAATTTGCTATTAGGAAAATTTTAGGCACTCGCCAATTTAAGTTCTTTCTAGATTTAACCACTTTTCCTGCAACCTGTTTTTACTGTGGTGACCCTAGGACAACATAAACCAACCAATGACACACAGTGTTTATGAGTGACCCTCTCATGCTCAGTTGATACATCAGAAAGTCCCTTTTGTGTGTCATCACTTTGGTCTGTTTGCAGTGCAGAGGCTAATGTAGTTATGGGGTTAGGACTCAGTTAATTTTTACTCATGTATTTTATCCATATTTCACATAACAAAACAAAGAGCCGTTATTTGCTATATAAAAAGGCAGAGAAAATTTTAAGTGGCCGCCAGATTTCCAAGAAATATTTGTTTATCTCCATATAGCATCATGAAAATCAACTCCACTTGCATTTATCTATTAAGATATCTTTGCTTTCCTTCATTTAATCTGATGTAAAGCCAGGAGAATAGCACATCGGTAAACAAGAAAACAAAACCTGCTGGTAGGCACCATCAATTCCAGGACAGAAGAAGAGACTAGATGGCTAAAAAGTAGCAGGGTAAGCATTATAATCTGACTTTTCTGCAGATTTAGATTTGGCGATGAGCAATTTTCCTGAATTAATCAGCAATGTTTTGTTAAGAGGGCACTTAGCTAATGGGAACCATAACCTGATTGAATGTGATGTCAGGTGGCAGAGGGGTAAAGGATGGGTCATAATCAGGTTTTCAATTCATCTGAGACAGACGTGAGAGGAATAAGACAGACATAGTGGTTGGGGCAGGGCTCTTGGTGGATGGACTGCAAAACAGCAGTGGGAAGTATTTGAAGAAGTACTTGAAGAACAGGAGTCCTTTACATACCCTCAAAAGATAACAACTCTACTTGTATGATGAAACAGCCATGGTCATGAAAAGAAAAGTGAGGGGTAGTATGAAACTAAAGAACTTAATTTGCAACAAACAGTCAAGACTAAGAATGATGAAAAGAACTGGAAAGTGTACGAAGAAAATCCTAAGAATTGCAAAAAGGGAATGCAAGACGAAAAAATTTAAGAAACATAAAAGGTGTTTACAAGAAATTGATGGGACAGACTAAGAGCAAAATGAAGACATCACAGGTAATATTGCAATTGTAATTCAAGAAATTACAGACTTCCTAAATAAACACATCAATCTTGACAGCAAAAAATGAAGATAATGCACTAGTGAATGACACAAGGAAAACTAAAAATAAATCAAGATGAACAACTTACTCAATTTTATATACGTTGAAAACAAAGTTCATAGAGAAAATTGTGCGATAAAAGAAAGTCAAATTTCCAAATCTCTTATGGTTTCCATTCAAGGATTAAAATTAGAATCATAAAATCATACAATTTAGAAGAAGCCCTTCGGCCCCATTAAGTCCGTACTGCTGAAAATACACTATACCACTTAAAAGTTAATTAAAATAAGTAGGTGATGGAATTGTGGAAGTCAGAGTCATGATCATCTAAAACTGTCTTTATTCAGGAATTGTGCCCTTGGTTTAGAAAATATCCAATGTAATTATACTACGAGTAATTAAAAAAAGTAGGAGATAAACTAGGAAGGTGCTATCAAAGGAGCCTTGCTGAGTAGCTACAATGCATCTTGTAGTAGTTACCTACTATTGCCACTGTGCATCAGTAGTGGAGGGAGTGAATGCTAAATATGGTGGGTAGAATGTCAATTAATTGGGCTGCTATGTCCCAGATAGACTGAAGCTTCTATAATGTCATTGGAGCAGCACTCGCCCAAGCAAATGAAGAATTTTCCATCATACTTCTGACTTGTGCCGAGGATGTGGATAAGCTTTGAGGAATTGGAGGTTGATCATCAGCAAACATTCCAATTTCTGATCTTAAGGTAGAGGTAAGAGCATTCATGAAACAACTTAAAATGGTTGGGCCTACAATAATACCCCAAGGAACTCCCTCAGCGATATCTTGAGATTATCTGTAAATGTGTTGAAAGGTTTAAAAATGAGCATGGTAATTCATTTCTCCAGTTTTATACCAGAAAGGCCAGTTTTTTGCAAATCTGCCCCTTTTGGTATCAAACAATTTTATGTCCTTTCTAAATATAACATCCTTGCTACTTATATATATTACAAGTGTGGCAACAAAGAAGGTTAAAGTTCTAGCAAAGTGATTTTCTTTTATATCTTTGAAACCCAATAGATGTGTTTTTAACAATAGTTTTACATGGTCAAGGATGATTCTCAACAGTCAATTGCTATGCGACAGAAATCAGCTCAGCAATCTTCTCATGAACCATGAGTACAATTAATACATCAGGTTGCTGAGATTTTGCATTTGCATTCTGGAAATCTTCAGAGTTCTGCTTCTCAGAGAATGGAGAAAATAAATTCCAAGAGCTAAATTGATTTAAACCAAATTACAGTCAAATCACACAATGGTTCACTCATAATATGAAAAAAAAACCATGGTTATGAAAAGATGATAAAACATGGTTAGATTACTAACACTAATGGTAGATCCAAACCATTGTGATGAAAACACACAGAACTTTCTGTGTGTGTGTAATTACACTCAAGTACAAAATTGCAAGGTTTCTTCTAAAGCTCTGGATAATGAAATTTCTTTTCACCTGATGTCCTTATTTGTGTTCCTGAATGCATTGTGTGCTAGGGAGAAATGGCAGGGGAAGTTCATGTCAATCATGCATAGTTATAATGGTGGTTGCCTTCTTCCATGATTTCAAAAGAATATCTAACGTTGCCCTGTGTCAACAATAAATTCGAACAATTTTTGGAAAACGAGAAACCCTCCTATGTGTGTACATTGGCAGGGGAGCGTCTGTTACTCCTAACCTCTGTCAGTGGTCCCCTAAAAGAGTATTATCAATTTTATTCGGCAAAGATATTTAATGTTACAAAATCAAGACAGGTAACTGATATTAAGGAACATATTAGCCGTGATCTATCGAAATGATATCAGGGCGTGAACTCGCCCCGTTCTTAAAAGTGGATTGTCAGCATTTGATCAAATGTTTTTGAGAGGTGTATGCACACTTCAGGGAAGTAAATGATGAAGCAACCATTTATCCGAAGCCAGCAATGGCAGTGGGCCCAACAGCAGAGTGTTTACTCCAATTTTCAAACTGAAATGGGACAGCATCTGATGAGCGGGAGCATATGACTTGTTTGGGGAGCCTGTGAACAAGGTTAAGATTCATGAGCAGTCAGGTGGTAGACCTCCGAGGAGATAATGAAGTGGTGAGCACAAGAGTGCAGTGGAAGAGGGGTGACAGCTGAAGGCTAAAGCCTGCTAATTTTAAAACTAAAGCCAAACATCTTAAGTAAACAAAGCAAAACAAACAGAGACATTACCAGGGCGGGCACACACGTGTGCTTTCGCGGGGACACCTGCTCTACCGGGAATGGGGGTTTCGGGGGTAGGGAGGCGGATCCTCACGCGCAGCGACCAATCAGAGCCCAGCACGAGAGGGCCTCTTTGTGATGTCAGGCTCCTCACGCGCAAGAGAAAAAGAACGCGAGCTTCCGGGCTCCGGGATACACGGGTTCGGAGTGAGTGAGAGGGTCGAGCTGAGGGATATACCGAGGTGGAGCAGACGGTAAGGCCCCGGTGTGAGAGAGGGATGAGCAGAGGAAGGCCCGGGGGCACCGAGCGTGAGCTTCGGCAACGTAAGCGCTCCTTGTCTCTGGCCTGCCGCCGGAGTGAGGGCTCCGGCTGGCCGCGAAGGGACTGGAGAGGCCCGGGTGCTCCAGTAGTTCCCCCAGCCCGTGTAAGGGAGGTGCGGGCTCTGTCCCCTCTCCCTCTGGGACTCCTCAGGCCGTTTGTGGCCTTCAGTTTTGTTTAATTATTCACTTTTTAAACCGAGGTTCGAGTGGAGTTGGAAATAATTTTCCTCCTTCCCTTGAGGATGGTGACAGTTTGGATTCGATGTGGGATGAGAAGGGACACACACAGAGAGCCGTGGAGTAGCCTGTGATTTACTCGGTGTCTCGCCCTGGCTTGTTTCCGTTCTCAATAACGTTCGTCATCCGACCAGTTGGGCAATAAAGCTGCTCTGCTGAGCACCACAAAATCCCGTCATCGACTAGGAAATACGCTCCCCTGCCCATTAAATATTATTGTGCTACTTTCTTTAGCGTCAGTAGACGATGAGTCTTGAGAATAACCTTAACCTGCACATTCGGCTGTTTTTCTTTTTTAAATAAAAATCTATTGTCTGCGATTTAGAAGTAGGTGGCAATTAAGGCAAGCTACCGCGAATATTGGCAACCTGAAACAAACCGGACGCTTGGGTCCGGCAGCTTCTGTGAAGAGCGAACGCGGTAAAATTTCGAGTCCAGTATTTCACTTCAGATTTGAACAATATTAGGGTTTTCTTGTATTCGAGGCAGAGGCCCAGTGGCAAAAAGTTAATTGTGTAGAGAGATGTAACATGAGTGCACTTTAGTGCGTGGAAGGAGAGAGAATTAGTCCCCTCTAATAACGCGGCTATACGAATAGCACCTGTTTTCCATAGCTGTTTGTGTCCCTGATTAGTCACATTGCAGCCTTGTGATGGTCAAAATTGAATGCTTTGATCCTTGTGATCTTCCTGAGGAAAATTTTAGTTGGTATCTATTTAAAGATATTTAAACTCACCTTTTGCTATGTGAGGAAACGATGCCACCATGCAGTTATTAAACTAATCTTTGTATCTAGTGCTACGCAATGAGTGAAGAACTAATGATTTTGATAACCGCGATGGTCTTTGTAGAATGAAAGGTCCGTGATGTATGTATTTACTTTTGTATACAGTCAGGTTGATATCCCTCTTGTGCCTGATGTGTTCCTGTTTATAAATGCAAACTGCTAACTGACTCAACGGTAGCCAGTTACTACTAAAATGGGTGTGTCCTAACAAGCAGAAGATTGCTGAACTTGTTTTGCTCGCTAGTCATATGACCTACTACTTGGTATACAGATGCATGCCTCAAGTATTTTTGGACATGGGTTTATGCACTGAGTCACTACTTGATAAGGGATTGTACTAAAGAACATACTGTCGTCATGGTGCATCTGCATTAGCACAGTTTTAAGCCCATGGTTGATGTCATTCATCTTAGTGACAATGAGGTACCGTTTTTAGGATTTTTGTCTGGATATTGAGTGACAATACTGATCTGGTGCCTAGCCAGTTTAGAAATGAACACTAAATGAGCTTTGCACCATATATTTACTTTAGAGGCAACTAGAATCTCCCCAATCAAACAATCTGGGAAAGAGATGGCACACGATGATGAAAAATTGACAGCTGTTGAATCACTGGGTTTTCTGTCTCTACTTAAGTAGATAGCGTAGTGAAGCAAACTTCTGTGGTTTGAGACACCAACTAATTAAGGTTGGTTCTTGACAAGATCATCACAAACTTAAACCTTGAAAATAAAGGTAATTAAGATTCCTCTTCCCTCATGTCAAACCTAAGGCCTTTCTGCCCTCCTGGAAAATTATTTGACTAATGCTCATTTTGTACACAAGATCTAAGTTAACATAATCTGGAGAACTGTGGATGAGGCAGTCAGCTAAATACTGAACTTTTGTTTTTACTAGGTCATAACTTGTATGATCAGACTTTTCTGAATTGAGAAATTAAGACTTGGATAGAGAAGTTACATGTGGAAATCAAACTGCAAAAAGTTTTTTTACTTTTTAAAAACTTGCTGTAAATCTGATTTGGTGCAGCAGTAATGCCTTGTACAAATAAAATTACTCCTAGCTATGGTGCCATGTTAAAATACAATTTGTCACAATCAGTGCAATACTATAATATCTTGCATAAGGATTTTTTTCCTTTTTGTGGGGCTGGAAGGGTTTTAAAAATGGCATGCACAAGCTAATAGAGCAAACTGGATATAAATGGGAGACTTTGGGTCTCAGCAGCAATTGGAAATTCAGTGGCTTAACAACAAAACTTGATGTAACTTGGGATACTGATGCTTTCTGGAGTGTGGTAGCTGGTGAACATAGCATCCAAGTAGTCAGTGGTAAGAGCTTGGATCAGGGTTTTAGCCAGCTGGTTGCAATAGGATAAAGATGTTCATGCTGGGCTGGTGGTGCTTTGAGAATTTCAGCCCAGGGTCCAGTGCAGCACTAAAGCAACTTGTGCTTATTAATCTAAAGACAATGGCTAGGGAAGGACATTGCATCAGTAGCAGTTGCATGTTTTTGTTTCTTCCCTCCCCAAACCCCAGTGCCCTTGAAGCCGTCCTCAAATTTTAAGGGAATTAACGCTGCCAGAGCTGGGGATATATTGAGTAGATTAACAAGGAAGTTGCAGGGTTAGTGAAGCTGTGGTAGAGCTTGGTGTATGAATGCAACTTGACACTTCCTGCTCCTTTCTTGTTGAGAGAACAAGAAGAGAAATGGGGGTCCAAGGATGGCTCCTTCTGGGCTTCCTGGTGCAAGGATCAAATAGGAAGTCATTTTGGGAGATACACTATTCTTGACTAGGTACAGCAACCCTATGAATGCAGTCAGCCAAGTGAGGAGGTGCATCTAAGGGCATTGATTAGGAATGTTTTTATTAACACCAGCCTGTTCAGATGTTCTTACCAACCTCTGGAACAGGTGGGATTTGAACATAAGCCTCTGGGCCCAAAGGTAGGGATACTACCCAACATTTCATACTCCCAGGTGGTCTCCCACTTAAGTACTAACCAGGCCTGAGTCTGCTTAGCTTCCAAGATCACATGTATTTAGACTTGTCTGGCAGTCAAGGCTCAAGTGTATAGAATTGGGTTAGTGTGGTTCATGAAGCAATTTTGGAGTTGGACGTGACATGAGAGACTGTATCTCATCAAATCCATGCTGGCTCCAAAGAATGAAATCAATCCCCTAATCTTGATCCCTATAAGTCTTGAAGATTGACTTCCTTCAACTGCCCATCCACTTTGTGAAATGTTTCCACATTATCACTTGCTTTCATTTCTTGCCTAAAATTTTAAATCATCTCTATTCTTTACATTATCAGTTAATGGAGTGCTTTTCTTGTACAGCCTAGCAGGGTAACTTGTACAACATCACTTTCTGGATTATCCCATAATAGGTAGAGACCCAGCTGAGCCATTAGGGGTCCTCCATTAAGGGGAGAGAGATTTTCTTTTTGAGGATTTGTGGTTTGAATCTCTCCCAGAAAGCAGTGAAGGCTGGATCATTGAACATGTTCAAGGCTGTATTATATTCCTTGATACTCCAGGAAGGTGAGGGTTATGGAGGGGCTCAATGGGATTGAGTTCAAGTCACAAACAACTTGGTTATTCTTACTGAATAGAGCAGGCTTGAGGCCTACTCCTACAGCTTTTGCTCCAGCCTTTCCAACATAACTTAATGGCTCCAGGGAACAATTCTAGTAAATCTGTCCTTTTTATGCCAGCTCAGACTTCATTTTCCAGGGTAAAATACTGTAATTTGGGCCTAACCAGAATTTTATGTTGGATGTGTAATTCTTAAACTTGAAAGGGTTCAAAAAAGATTTACAAGGATGTTGCCAGGGTTTTAGAAGGTTTGAGTTATAAGGAGCAACTGAATAGGCTTGGGCTTATTTTCTGTGGCGCATCAGAGGCTGAGGGGTAACCTTGTAGAAGTTTATAAAATCGTGAGGGGCATAGGTAGGGTGAATAGCCAAGGTTTTGCCTGCACAGTTGGGGACGCCAAAACTGGAGGGTATAGATTTTAAGGTAAGAGGCGGGGGGGAAAAGATTTAAAAGGGGCCTGAAGGGTAACTTCTTCCAAAGTGGTGCATATATGGAATGATCTACCAAAGGAAATGGAGGCTGGTACAATTACAACACTTGAAAGGTGTTTGGATGAGTACATGAATAGGAAAGGTTTGGATAAATATTGCTAAATGCTGGCAAACAGGTCTAGATTAACTTACCATATCTGGTTGGCGTTGGTCAGTTGGACTGAATAGTCTGTTCCTGTGCTGTACAACTGAATGTAGTGTAGTTCTGCCATGCGACAATCTGATTTGAAAGGACTGTTTTAGATAGTTTTGAAAATAGGTGCAGATTAAGGTAAAGCTTTTCAGTGAGAAGTTGGAAGTGGGGTGGAATGTGTAAGTGTTGAAAGATCTCTTTGAAGGTTTGGATTAACAGGAGGTTATGGATAGTTAGTGGTTTCTTGGGATTAAGAGGAATGAAGAGTTTTCTAAACTAGTTTTTAGTAAATTTTTAAGGTTTTCTTTGAACAGACTTTCTGAAGTACCAGTTCATGTGAAAATTCTTTCCATTGACCATTTAATAGTGATGAAATCTATTTGCAACTTGTACACTCCAATGAGAATGCAATATTCTACTGTTGTCTGTGAATGGTAATGCATCATAATGAAGCATTTTAGATCATTTTATTACATGGCTATTTTAGATTCCCTTGCTGTGCGTAATTGTTTAAAGTTCCTTTGAACTTTACCACATCCATGAATAATACCAAGGTTTTGCCAACACTATTCAATAATGTCTGTCTTTGTACCTGCAGTACACCAATATGGCTCAAGAAACAAATCAAACGCAAGTGCCTATGCTGTGCTCAACTGGGTGTGGATTTTATGGAAATCCCAGGACAAATGGAATGTGTTCAGTGTGCTACAAGGAACACCTACAAAGACAGCAAAATGGTGGCCGTATGAGTCCAATAGGTAGGATTTAAATTTTTTTGCATATGCTCCTAGACACCACCTTACCTTGTGAAGAGTAAGTTATTCTTGCAGCTCCAATTACAGTTGCTGTTCCAAATTGACCTGAATACTGTTTCTAGCTACCAAAATAGATTGAGAAAGTATTAGAAATAAGGAATTGGATTATGACTTTGAAAAATTGCAAAACAAATATGCAAGCAATTTGGTGTCAGCTGTTAAGGCACAGAAACTTTGCACCATGTAATCAAATCCAAAACTGAGGAATTAGCAGCTTTTAAATATCATTCTCTGTCCATCAAGTTTCTGAAGAGATTGTTCTTTAAGTACTCTTTAAATGGGTGTTCCGGCTATGCGTCGTAATAGAATGGTAAAGGAGGCAGTTCAGTTTTACCAGGTCTGTTGGTTCATCAAAGAATGATTAGTTTAATAAACGCTTGTACACTTTATCTCTGCAGCCTTGCTTTCAAAATTTTTATCTTGAAAGCTATTGTTGAATCTACACCTAATGTCCTATCAAAGTACATTCTAAACCCTAATCCAACATTGCATGAAGCTTTTTCTATTGACTTCCTGGTCTTCTGCTGGTTACCATAAATTGTTAGCCTCCGATTACTGACTTTAGGTGGAAGTTGTGGGTTTTTAAAGAAAAAACCCCCTGTATCTCCTTTTTTCATCTATGCTACAAGAACAACAATCCTTGCCAGGCTTTTGGTCATCTGCTCTGAGCTCCTTATACAACTGGGAGCATAACTTGTTCTCTCTTCAAATGAGCTATTTCAAATTACCACCAAGCATTAAAACACTTGTTAATTTCTAGGTTGAGTGAAACTAGCAATATTTCTACATGAAAGTCTTGTTTGTTTCCAATGAAAAATCTTTAGCATTTCTTTGTATAATTACCAACTTACAAGTTGGTAACTGGCATTCTCCAATGTAGCAGTTGGCATATAATGGCAGATCAAAGTAGAATCCTTTCCTGAAACTAATGTTTTGCTGCAAACTTTTAATGTGACAGACCTAATATTTTAATTGAAACTAAAAGTAAGCCCTGAACATGAAGTAGCTATTGATAAAATTTAGCTAGACAGTTTGTGTTCAATTATTTTGATTCCCTGGTGCATCTAATATACTAAGTGACATCCTAAGAACTTAGCTGGTTCAGTGCTTTATGCTTGAAACTGGAGGCAGGAGAATTATTGCTGGAGCAATTGTGCTAAAATAATCACTTTTATAATGTTAAAAATTTGTGGTGAAAAAGTTCCATAGATACACCAGTTAGGGGGTAGCGAAGTCTATGCTTCAGATTGATTGATCTGAACTAGGAATGGATTAAAGTGTAACAGCTTTAAAGCAAGCAAAAAGCAGATGAAAAAAATCTCCTGTGATAGAAGGAAGGAGTGATAAGGCAAGTGAAGAGACAACTGTCCTAAAGGAGGTCTAGACAGACTTCTGCAATTTGCTGTGCCCTGTCTGGAGTTTATTTTCATTCTATTTGTTCTGAGTATTGCATCCAATTGTTGCAAAACCTGATCTTAAACTGTTATTTTTCACTGTCGTTTGGTGTATGTGACTCATAGCTAGCATGTTTACATGTGACCTATCCCAGTTTCATTAAACAAGATGTGTTCATACCTGACCCCTGCCAGTCTTCTCATGGATAGCTTTTTGTTTTACTGTCAACAAGAAATGGCAGACAGCTACTAATGTGTTTTCATTCTTTAGGTACAGCTGGTAATTCCAACAGTTCCAACTCTGACTTTGCTCACATCCAGCGAACGGAGAGCTTTAAATCTGAAGGAGCCTCCATCAATGTAACTGTCAAAACACAGTAAGTCTGAATGACACTGCAAGTGCTTGCCTGTTTGGTTATCATTTAAGGAAGACTCAAATGATATTGCAGATCATGTAAACATCCAACTCCATATTTTACCTATGCTTGGTCAACATCACTTGTACATTAAGTGTATGGGGCTATAATAGCTCAGTTGGATGCAATATTTTTTTAAGCCTAATGTTCCAGGTTTAGGGATATAATATCTGATAAGATCAAGCAGGCAATATCATTAACTGAATAGAACGGATTGCTGTACCAGAGATTCCATTTCAATTTTACATAAGTCATGCCCTGTTTTGGAAGTGTTCACAGATCATCATGGAAATCCAATGCTTCTTGCAATTTTTAAAACCTTAAGTGAAATTCAAGCTTGTACTACAGAATGTTAGTTGTAGGCAAGTTCCTGTGTAATATTCTTCAGGAACCTTGCAACATGTGAAATGGCTTTGGAGATCAATCATGAGAGGTTAAAAGCAGTGACCCACCCTGCTGTCAATTCTGTTTTCCCTGTCAATGTTACAACATGAATTTCAAAACAAACTAATGAATTTATAGGGAGTTTAAGTCATCCTATTTGGTTTGCTGGACAGTACACAAGGTGAAGCTGTTTTCCACCTGTAAAAAGGACAAATTTAAAATGTACAAATGAAGCAAGGGTGATTGTCATACATTAAATTGAGGGATGGCATGCACCACCTGGAAATGTGGAAGCTAGCTGAATTAGGGCATTCAAGACTCCACTGTGGTTTATTTGGATAGTAGTAACATGCAGGAGATTCTGACTGGATAATGAGCTGATGAAGGTATGAAAGGTCACCAGCAGTGTAATTTTGTTTTAGCATCAGCTTGACATCCACTCGAGGTAGTGCCTAGAATGGCACAGTCCTAAAGTTGCAGTCAGTGGAACACAAGAGAATCACTACTTCTATCCATCATATTAGAGCAGCTATCCATCTCTGACAGTCTCTGACAAAATCCAGCAGCTGCCCCACTGCCATGAGCCCTAAGATAACAGACAGTAGCCACAAGGCAGTCAGGAACATGGAGGACACAAGTGACCTGCAGCCCCTGTTCATCCACCCCTGCAAATGCCCTGGAAGGGGCTCCCCTCACTTCAGTAGTTTGCCAAGTAAATTATTCATTTCTTCCTTAAAATTTAACAACTCATTTGCCAGTAAGTCTTCAGTCACTTTAAAGTACAGTATTTCAACTTGGAGGTTCCATGCATTGTTTTAACTGTACTAAGGTCAATCCTGCAGAATTAATTCATGTTCCACTAATCCTTACAGAACCAGTGCTTATCATAATCACCACTTGGTCTCAAAATTGAGACATCTTCAAAGTCAGATTTGTGTGCCTTGTAAATGTAGATATACAGTTTCAGTCTCAAGATACAAAGTTTAAAATAATAAAATTGGATAATCTTTTGACAAATAACATGGATAAAAATGTCAGATCAATAGAAAATTCCTTATTTTTGAGTAATACTAATAGTAATTGAGACTTTTTATTGCAAAACTAATTATCCTGATTATATTTTTCTATTTGGCAGAAGCATGTCAGGATCAACCTTGCCTGTGACACAGCAGATGACTGAAATGAGTATTTCCAGAGAAGAAAAACAGGCAGAAGTTGAGGTGGCAGAGCCAGGTACCATTTTTAATAAACATCTTGAAACAATTTATTAACTGCTTTGCTTGAAGAGGTTCTAACAAAACATGATGTACTGTATGGCCCAAGGTAGAAATAACTTTGTTTTTGAAATGGTGTAACATCAGTTTGGGGAGAGTTGAGATCATGTAGGGATCTGAAAATGGATTGACCTTTCAAATTAAAGGGCTACATAATTGGGCACGAGTTGATTGGTTGGCTCTTTTATACTCTAACATTTTACTGATGGCAGCGAATCATTTTATAATTCACTATCTTAATTTCAAGGATTTAAGTGCTCCGTATGCTTTGTTCCTTATTCTTCTGTCCTTGCTGGCCTAGATTCCTAATGTCACATTTTTTTGAATTCTTATAGCTTCTGCCCACCTATTTTAAAAGTGCTTTTAAGCTTTTATCACTAGCTAAGTATTTGCTCACCTCTGCTTTCAATGTTCTATTAGTTAAGAATTTCTGCTAAAGAAACTATATAGATACATTTCTTTTGTTGGGCTGGATTGCTGGCATTCTAACTTTAATGTTGCTAGGAAAATGCTGTGTACCCACATGACTGCTGTTTGTACCCAGTGTTTTGTACCTTATCTTTATAATGCTTTGCCTTGAGTAACAAATGATGTGACATCAATTAGATTCTGAATTTTCCTTGTGCAAATATAGATAACAAACTAGGGTAACAGTTTAGACTAAAACAGAAATTCATTATTTGATGTCTATGACAACATTGTAATGTGAATTACCTACTTGTGTTTAATTGTAGCACAGCCATCTGCCCTACCTGCACCAGCTAGTACATCAGGGAGTGAAGACAAATCACCAGAGGTACCCCGTCCAAAGAAGAACAGGTGTTTTCAGTGCAGGAAAAAAGTTGGTCTTACAGGTGAGTTCTCCTATAATGCGATAGTTGAGTTCTCATGTGACTTTGTGCTGTAGAACATCACATTGAGTGAAATGCTATACCTGTACAGCAGAAAGTTTGTTATCCAAACAATGTCCATTATTCATCAGTCATGTTACAGCCAATTCATGTTAGTAAAACATGTTATAAGCAGAACTACCTATACATTCACTTCATTCATCAAGTCACTAATGTATTATAAATAATTGTGATCCCAGCTCTGATCCCTTTGATACTGCATTAGCTGCAGGTAGCTATCTTGAATGGTATTTAACAGTCTTCTAATGGTTAGCTATACTTTTAATGCACTTGAAATAAGGCTACTTAAATGTTACAAGTTCCCACTTATCTAATCTGCTTGATTATGTATTTCTATTTTCTGCTATTACACCCTTTATAACTGACTTTTTTCTTGGTATTGGCATCAAGCAGTGACTCATCTTTACCAATTTCAATTTTTATTAAAATCTTTTAGATCATAACTTGCTCATGGATAAATTTAAGATGGAAAATGAATGAATATGTAGAGGTTTTAGCTTAGCAACTTCAATCATTACTATGATAATTCCCATTTTTCTCCTTTTACTATGCAAGACCATATCTTCCTTTCCCTCCCTCATTCTGATATGGTTTCTGCTTTGTTTCATACCCCTTCTACTTAAGTTGTTTTTGATATCCTTATCACTTTCCACCCTGTGGTCAGTTTGTCCTGTCAAAGATCCTAGGTAAAAAAAACAAATTTTAGTTCATCCACAACTGGCTTAGTTGTTGCCAAATCCTCCAACCATAACTCAATCCATATTAGTAAATGATGGCCACTTTGACATCCCTAGCCCTTTTCATCTATTATGCCAAAATAGATAAAAAGACAAATTGGAAGGAAAAGCTTGATTTATGAATTCTCAAACTTGTTGCTCAACTTTTTAAAAGCTAGGTTCTTCACTGTGGGTTAAGATGCAGTGTTTTTTTTTTAAATAAGGCCACTTGGTAATTGAATTTAAGCTACTTAATTTCACTTTTACATGCAGGTTTTGACTGTCGATGTGGGAACTTGTTCTGCGGACTTCATCGTTACTCAGATAAACACAATTGCCCTTATGATTACAAGGCAGAAGCAGCAATGAAAATCAGGAAAGAGAACCCTATTATTGTGGCTGAGAAAATTCAGAGGATTTAAACAGGCAATTGAAAAGGACAGTAACTATCAAAGACTGCATTTATTCTTTATCCCCTGATCTATTTTGGGATCCTCATAGAGCAGATGCATGGGCTGTTTTAATCCTTGTCTGTTCTCCAATTGTGCTTTAACCCTAGTTCCTAATTGTAAGGTGGCTGGACATTACTAGATGCAATTGAGCACACAGTACTAATCACAACAAGTGAAACCATTGACCTACAAAATGAACAGAATGAGCTGGTTAAATGGAGATCGCTAGTAGTGGTTCATGTGCCAAGCTAGCTTAAGACAATGTGTTGTAGTGCTTTTAATTAAGTAAAATGACCAACCAAAAACTTGTTTGTTAACATGTTTCTAGTGCCTAAGCAGACTTCAGTCTTTGGATGACTTCTAGAATAGTCTGTCAAATTACATAGATTCAAAGATATGATAGTTCGTATATTTGAATAACTTGGATTTTTAAGGTGCGTAGCCAATTCCATTGGAGCCTTGGAGCTGCCTTCATCTCGGCATACATGGGCTCAGTTTTGTAGGTTAATGACTTTCATGCTGGTGTTATTCAGGGAAAACCTGTGCAAATAGGGAAGGCTTTCCAAGTTATGTTTTTAAACTTTAATTAGAAAACAATTTTCCTTTCCTCTACTAGAACACAATCAGCCTGTAAACATTTTCAGAGTATTTAATTATGGGAGTCTGAATAATACAGAATGTTGTCAAGGCCAATGAATCTGAGCCTCTTTCTCCTAGAACAGTAACTCTGCCTTCATTTATTTAAGCATATGTACACTAACTATGTAGATCAATATGATACATGCAGGCTGTTTACAGAAGTTGCACATGCTTTTAACAGATGTGAATGAATAAAACTGTATCTAAGTAACTAATTGGTAATGTCCCAATTATACTGCATCTGTTGGTGAGTCTCATTACACATTTGAAACCATGTGGCAAGCGTAATAGAATGCCAATTTTCATAGTTTGGTAGCCTCCTATCATAAACCTGGGAGGAGAGAGCCTTGCATGGCTTGTTTGACTGCATGTGGTGCCCAGTTATTTTTTTTTTTCTTGACCCCTTTGCCTGTTAACTGCTTGGGCAGAGCACACAGTTTAAGTTAACTTGACAGGCTGTGCACCACTTAATGACAATTGTTTAAGAAGTATATTTGTCTGCTGATAGCACACCTATCATCACCCAATCCCACCATGACTACAGTGCATTATAACTGGGCTATATATTCTACAGTGTTAAGAGTATAACATTGCCTTATTGCATGGACTGCATGTCCTTAGCAGTGTAAAATGTTGAACTGTAGAAATGACAGTATGCTGAATTGAAGCTATTGTACTTTTACATCTGTTATTAGATCTGTGGTGTACAAATTAGTTGCATTTTAAATCCAGTACAATTTAACATGTAGCGTGATCAAATCTTAACAATTTTAACAGGCTGTGACTTCAATTACTGTTCATCCTTGCAATAACTCGGCATATTCAAATACTATACACAGCTTAAGTTTTGTTGACAAACTACAGTATGCCTTTTTAATTTTTAATCTTGGGTACGCAATTTGTACAGAAGTATTTATATTTATGTAATGCATATCATGCTCATCTGCATTTATGCGAAATTGGATGTAAATAAATATGTACAGAATAACTTCTGTTGGTTTCTTTTCCACTTTCATTAAGGAGTTGTATAACACATGGGTGGCCCATGTACCTATACCTGTTTTCTCTTCCAAACATCTTTTCAGTGTTTCCATTTAATTTTGCATTGTCCTCATTGTGCCTCAACCAAGTGAGAAGGGAGTGAACTGGCTGCTGTTGACCTTTGGTTGGTCAGAGTAATGGTTTTGTGCTCTTAACATGAGGTAACATCTATCCTCATTGAGTTAAATGTCTTCCTGTAATTGGAATTAAAGGCTTAATCTGCTAATATTGAGGGGAAAATAACTGACTTCAAATAAGGCCTTCATGCAATCATTTGGCTCTTCACTCACTGTCTAGTACAAAGAATATAGAGCATACCGTTTTAATCTCTTGGGTATCTGAGGTCTTAAACTGATCAGTCGGTGATTTTTGTGGACCATTTGCAGCAGTGAATATTAAGTTATTTCTAATGTTTACGACCCCTCAATCTTTCAAGATGAGCAAACTTCTCTAGTCTTAAGTCTAACCCACTTTCTCTACAAAACAGCTGTTTAAAATGAAAATTAATGTACCTTTTGTCTGTTTGTTCAAACAGGCAATTATAGGCTGTATCTGCAGCATGTTGTTGTGAACATGTTTGATAATTATTCTTGGGTGTAAATCCAAATAGATGGACACACTTTAGGAGGCTGACTGGTTTATCGGCTCATGGGTAAGTTTAACTTTCAACATCAGGGTCATGAAAGTTGGCCAACCTGTTGGGATAGTGATGTCTGCATCCATTTCCAACTCAGTATTTTTGATCACTTTTTAAAAGGCATTCAGTTCATAAATTCCAGATATATGCATTCAAAGGTCATTTTGTATAACCAATGGAATATTTGTTAATATTGTGGAAAATTGCAGTGTATTTTGTGTAAATGAAACTAGAGTATTAGTTTTCACTGCTTTCATAACATTAAACCACTTACAATATCATTGAAGCTTGCATTAGTGACCTGTAGCAAGCCAATATTCAATGGTGTTGGGAACAAGGGAAAGCTAAACTGAAACCTACAAATTCCTTTCCTGTCCTTAATCAGTGTTTTAGAAAGTTAGATGTGGTTTAAGACTATTAGCATGTGGTTTGAGGACTTGATTTGTTCATGAGATGTAGGTGTTGCTGGCTGGCCAGTGTTAATTGCCCATCCCTAGCTGCCCTGAAGGAGGTGGTAGTGAGCTGCCTCCTTTTTGAATGGTTGCATCCACTTGCTTAAGATTGACCTACAATCCTGTTTGGAAGGGAATTCCAGAATTTTGACTCTGTGACAGTGAAGGAATGGCAATTGTATTTCCAACTCAGGATGATTAGTGGCTTAGTAGGCAACTTGCATGTGGGTTGTGCTTCCCTATAATAAATTGTGGGTTAAAATAGAATTATTTCACCCAAATGACAATACACCCTCTGCTCTCCACAAATGTGAATTTTGAGCAGTTTTACAAGCTGGGGCAGGGGAAATTATCTTGTCTAACTTTTGGTGGAAAATAAGACTGGAGGTGGTGCTTGATGACTTCTGCAGAATGGGCTGAAGGGCCTCCTTAGCCATAAGGCTATCTCTGGGTGCCGTGAAGATGCTTTTTTATTTGTGGTGGGTTGCTCTAGATTTTGGGAGCCTTTAAAATATTCAATACTCTAAATTCTTGAGGAAACAGATACTGACTTTTCTGCAACTGCTGTGACTTGCACACTACAAATTATCTAAGTTTTTCTGGGTATTCAAAGCTTTGTTTTTAGTTTAGTTTCAGGTACAGGACCAATTCTGTTCCACCTGGAATGACTTGACTAAAAGTCATTGTATGATGGATTAGCTCTTCACAATTGAGGATGAATTGGTGTTTTAGTCTCATGGGAGACATGGGTGTTATTGGCTGAGCCAAAATTGACTGCCCTTAGTCAAAAGTGGTGAGCTTCCACCTAGAATTAATACAGTCCATGTGCTGTAGGTAGACCTGTAATGTCACTTGAGGTTCCAGGATTTTGACCCAGTGACCTTTTAAAGGAAGAATGTTTGGTCAGGCTGGTGAGTGGCTTGGAGGGAAACCTGCAAGTAGTGTCCCTGTGTATCTGATGGTTCATGCCAACCAGATATCCTAAATTAATCTAGTCCCATTTGCCAATATTTGGCCCATAATCCCTCTGAACCTTTCCTATTCACGTACCCATCCAGATGCCTTTTAAATGTTGTAGCTGTACCAGCCTGGACCACTGAACTCATTCCACACTCTACACTCTACCCTCTACCCTCTGCATGAAAAAGTTGTCCCTTTGGTTGCTGCTAAATCTTTTTCCCCCTCTTTAAATCTATGCTCTCTAGTTTTGGACTACTCCATCCCAGGGAGGAGACCTTGGCTATTTACATGATCCATGCCCCTCATGATTTTATAAACCTCTAAGATCACCCCTCAGCTTCCAACACTCCAGGGAAAATAGGCCTAGCCTATTCAGCCTCTCCCTATAGCTCAAACCCTCCAACCCTGGCAACATCCTTGAATCACTTCTGAACCCTTTCAAGTTTCACAACATCCTTTTTAGCAATGAGACTAAAATTGCACACAGTATTGCAAAGTGGCCTAACCAATGTCCAGTACAGCTGCAACATGACCTCCCAACTACTATAATGCATTGATCAATAAAGGCAAGCATACCAAATGCTGCCTTCACTATCCTATCTACCTGTGTCTCCAGTTTCAAGGAACAATGAACTTGCACTCCAAGGTCTTTGTTCAGCAACACTCCCAGGAACCTACTATTAAGTCCTGTCCTGATTTTGCACTTCCAAAATGCAGCATCTCATTTATCTCCATTAAAATCCATCTGCCACTCAGCCTATTGGCCCATCTGATGAAGATCCGATTGCACTCTGAGGTAACCTCTTTTGCTCTCCACTACACCTCCAAATTTGGTCATCTGCAGACTTACTAACCATAGCTCCAATGTTCACATCAAATCACTTTTTTATGTAAATGACAAAAAGCAGTGGACCCAGCACCGATCCTTGTGGCACACTGATGGTCACAGACTTCCAGTCCAGAAAACAACCATCCACCACCACTGTCTTCTACCTTTTTGAGCCAGTTCTGTATCCAAATGGTTAGTTGTGCCTAGATGTGATCTAACATTGCTAACCAGTCTACCATGCAGAATCTTGTTGAATGCCTTATTAAAGTCCATATGGATCATGTCCACCACTTTGTCCTCATCAATCCTCTTCATTACTTCAAAAAATCAAGTTAGTGAGACACTATTTCCCATGCACAAAGCCATGTTGACTATCCCTAATCAGTCCTTACCTTTTCAGAACATGTAAATCCTGTCCCTCAGGATTTCCTCTAACAACTTGCCCACCACCGATGTCAGGCTCACCAGTCTATAGATCCCTGGCTTTTCCTTACTATCTTTCTTAAATAGTGGCACCACGTCAGACAACCTCCAGTCTTGTGGCACCACCTATGACTATTGATACAAATCTCAGCAATGGACCCAGCAATCACTTCCCTATCTTTCCAGAGTTCTAGGATACACCAGGTCCCGGGACTTTATTTTAAGACGCCCAGCACCACCACTTCTAATATGGACATTTTTCAGAAGGTTGCTATTTACTTCCCCATTTTCTCTCTTCCATTTCCTTCTCCACGGTAAACACTGATGCAAAATGCTCGTTTGATATTTTCCCCATCTCCTGTGGTTCCACATATAGGTGGCCTTGCTGATCTTTAAAGAGCCCTATTCTCTGCCCAGTTACCCTTTTTGTCCTTGAATGTATTTGTAGAATCCCTTTGTATTCTCTGTGGCCCTATTTGCCAAAGCTATCTCATGTCCCCTTTTTGCCATCCTGTTCTTTGCATTCATCAGGAAAGTTTGCAAGAATATGAACTTAAAACAAATATTTATACTGCATGGGAAGTGTGCTAATTCGTTGGCCAATGGCTAACTGTTAGAGGTGTTGTCATGGAGAATGCACTAATTAATCTTAATGACAAATCATCTCCCATTTTTCTAAACTCCAATGTGTATAGACCCAACCGGTTCATCCTTTCTTAAGGCAACCCCTCCATACCGGGAATCAGCCTTCTGAACTGCTTCCAAAAGAAATATATCGCACTGTCAGGAGACAAACTATACCCAGGAACCCTGATGTAATCTCATCAATACCTTTTACATTTGTCGTAAGTTTTTCTTTACCTTATGCTCCATTCCTCCTTGCAATAAAACCCAACATTCCATTACCTTCCTCATTACTATGTGTGTATATGTGCTAACATTTTGAGATTCATATGCAAAACTTCAAATTTATCTGTGTATTGCCACCATAATTGTGGCAGAAAATTTGCAAAAATAATTAGGACCCTGATTTATCAGGTCTGAACAAGAAGCTGTAGAGTTGGAGATTCCATGGAGCCTTAACCTGAGAAGGTGCTCTGGAGACCATATGGTATTTTTGAGGTCAATTTGTGGCTTGAATGGCTTAAGGCATGTTTTTGTAGTACCCAGTCCATTTATATGTTCTTCTAGCAAGAATGAGCCTAATGCCTCTTTCTCCTTTATGACCCCACTGTCCCACCACTATACACAGACAATGAGTAAGCTTCTTTGTGTGTTAGGCTCAGTATGGTAGTACAACTAACTGCTATTAGCATTCAACAGGAAACCTCTTCACCATTTTGTTTGTTTCAAACCTTAAGAGCTGGCATATAGGTGCAGCAGGCAATCGGGAAGGCTAATGGAAAGTTGGCCCTTATTTCAAATGGGTTGAAGTATAAAAGTAGTGAAATTTTACTGCAACTGTACAAGGTGCTGACAAGACCACTTCTGACTACTGTGAGCAGTTTTGCTCCCCTTTATTTAAGGAAAGATATCGTTTCAGTGGAGGTAGTTCAAAGAAGGTTCACTACGATGATCCCTGATTTGGAGGGACTGTCTTATAAGCAAAAGCTAGACCCATTGAGTCTCGACTCGCTGGAGTTTGG